CATCACCAGGTATTGCAATATCAATGAACCAAACTTTTTTCTTTTCAACTATTGTTATATCAGATGTGTTGTGGGCCAAGTGCCTGTCAGTCTGAATTCTGAAATTCGACAGGATCTTGATTTTTTCATTCTCTAGAACCTTCTCAACCTGATGTTCCCAGTTGTTTTTGCTGTACTCAAATCCAAACTTCTGGCAATAATGAAGAAGAGGAGGAGGATGAATTTTTGCCTTCATGCAGTTTGGGGCTAAGGCTTGTTCTTGAGCTGCCAAAATAAAGCCTTCTGTTTCTTTTTTCAGTGCTCCTGATTGTTCCAAATTAGCTTTTGGTCAGCTTTGCCTTCAATACTTTTCAAGTATTGGTTATGCATAGCTTAGTTTTTCCATTTTTTCAGCTCGCTTCTCAATTACTTCTTTTTTTAATATATATTCAGCTTTTGACTTAGTTGTCTTTAAAAAGCCTCCTTTATTTACTTCCTTAATCATTAGTGAAGAACCTGCTTGTGTGCCTCCCAGCCTCACGATGCCCTGGCCCACAACCATAGAGCGTACACTCAGAGCAGCCACTGCCGGAAGACTCAGTTTGGAAGCTGCCGAAAAAGCCATGCTGGGATTGTTGCGGCCGCAGTGGAGGTGCTCTGGCTCTGGGGAGAGCTGGGCCAGGGCATCGTGAGGCTGGGAGGCGCACGAGTAGAAGCGGAACAGCCGCTCGTTCAAACCCCCCCTTTAGCCATGCAAAGGGCCTTTCACTGGCATTTCGAAGGTGCCAAGCCGCGGGAGCTGGGCGGCGGCAAACAGGCACTCACACGGCTTGGCAATATCCCTAGGTCAGTGAATGGTGCTTTGCCCAGCTGGAAAGGGTGTCATCTTTGCCTCCCCCCCCCAGTTCCCGCAGCTTGGCATCTTCAGGATACCGCTAGGTTGGTGAGCGGCACTCTGCCTGGCCGGAGGTGGGGGGTTGTCCAGAGAGCTTATTTATGGGCGAGGACTTATATTTTTGCACACCAGAAAAATGTCGCATGGCCTTATTATCAGGAAATGTCGTATTTTCAGGGAAACACGGTAGGACTTGGAGACTGTAGTTTATCTTGACATGAGTTCTAAGGGAGTTGACTTGAAGGCGCTGCTATTGTGATTTAGTGAAACTGAAGAGAAGCTAAACTGGTTTTTTGAAAAGTAAACTTATTGTAAGGTTGGGGACAAGGTTTGCTGAAAAAATACATACAGTACATATAATCTTTTGTTTACAATACCTCTTTGAATGAATGGTCAATCTATGTGGGTTTAACCAGAACAGGATACACTTCTTGGTTAGATTGCAGAATAGATTTTCTTCTAGGTTGAAATATCCCAAGATCAATAAGCAAATGTTAGTAAAATATTTGGTTTCTTATAGAACAATGAGTGTGGGTTATGGCTCCTTTAAATCTTAAATTGCTGCTATGGGTTAATTTTATAGCACTTCACAAATCTACAAATCACATAATAGATTCCAGTGTTTATTTATTTTTAACTTCCTGAGTGTTCTGTGTGTACAGGCACCTGAGTGCATAATGACCACACACACACATATATAGAGCTGCCAAAGTGCTACTGGCAGCTTTCCTCCAGATGCAGTTGCAGGGACATTGAATGTGTTTTCCTTTGACCAGTTGCTGTCTGCAAGTTGTGTCTACCTTTCTCTGGCTTTCCCACCCCCTCCTGGCTCAAGGTCCCCCTCCATTCCAGTAGAGCTGCCTTCTTGATTTTCAGACAGGCTGTTCTGAGCCTTCTCTATGCTTCAGATGGATCTCATCCACCGCTGACCGGCTTCAATTATCTTTCTCCCTCTGAGTTTCCATGACAACTGGACCTCGTCAGAGGCCTATCTTTGGCTTTGGGTAAACTTTTTGTTGGCCCTCGCTTGCACAAGATTCATGGCATCTGCTTTAGATTTGAGCTGCTGGGAAGCAGTGGTCAGCCGACAACTTCTGCAGGGTGGCTGACATTTTTGGCAAGAGGGTGGGTGGGTGGTGCCTGTGCCTCATGTGACAAGCTGGATCTGCCTTGTAGTTGGTCTGGTGTTCCCATTCCTTGCCTGATCCCTCTGTGGATTGGCAAGGCCTGGCCAGTGCATAGGACGTGCTGTTCAGGCTTGGGCAGAAAAACAAACAGGCTTTCTGCGTTGCTATGGCAATGGCAGGCTGTGGGCAGAGGCTGGGAGAGGGCTCTGAGGCCCCTGGATTTGAGTGGCCTGTTTGAATGATTCCAGAATGACTGTGGATTAGGAAAGGGGGCTGCCTAACGCTCCCACCAGCACTCCTTGGGTTAGCCCAGGGATGAGCTATTAATTTTCCCAAGGAGCCACATGAGGAACAGGGACTGTTTTGGAGGGCCAAACCAACAGGACCAACTCACTACTGTGAAGATTTTTTTCAATGCAAATTGGAAAAAAAATAACAGTTCCCTTTAAAATCAAAGCAATGCAGTTGTATTGCATGCATGGTATATGCTTACTTATATTTGACTTCTAATTTCTGATTGACTTCACATGGGCTGGACAGCCATGCACTGGATGTGGCCCTGGGGAGGGGGGGGGTGTCAAATGCCCAGATTTGGTTAGCTATTACTTTACTGGACCCAGATTGGTGGAAAGTTTTGAGAGGCAGAAGGAGCCAATTTGCGGGAAAGAATTGGCTTCTGCAAATGCCAGGTTTTAAAAACTGCAAGAGTTGAAGGAAGAATGCTTCAATATGTGGTTCTCTCTCTCTAGCTAGCCATGCCAAGTTTAAGCACTTTCTTTCTGGGCACAGTAGCTATTTCACCCGTGTTTATATGTCAGTGCAGCGCGCTCTTTTTTTGTCTGTCAGATGTTGGCAATATTTTTCTCAGGTGCAAGCAGGATGTTTCCAGTTTTTTTTCTATTTGATTTGAATTCAGCCTTTTGTCAAAGAGTGCCTGGAATCCATGCTATGGATTCTTGAATCCTGTAAAATCCTTCATTCTTTGACTACCTTGACTAACTAGTCACTTGACTAGCTTTTAAAACTTGATTTAAAAAATGTCAGAACTCCTGATACCAGGCATTACAACAATATTTTAGAAACTACATTTAGCCCAGTCTCAAGCATATATCAATATATTGGCAATGTTCAATGCCATTAAATTAAGTTGTATGCCAAATATACAAACCTGTTTTTAACTGTACCCTGTTTTCAATTTCTCTCTGTTTTGTTTTGTTTTGGGTTTTTTTTGGGAGGGGTGGTGAGTTCTGCTGACAATATCGTGTCCTGAACGGGAATAGTTCTTTTCTTAGATTTGCCTGGGATTTGTTAGTAAGAGGAAATGGTTGGCTGGAACCTGAGGCAAGGCCAATATTTAAGATATCTATTTTCAGCTTGGCAAAGGTGAATGTGGGCAGTTAGCAAAATACGCAGATGACAGATACTGGTAAACTAGGATAGTGCAAATTAGAAGAAATTGACTTCACTGAAGTGTTATTTAATGGAGGAATAAGGCTTGCAGCAAAGCGTGCAGGCTCTTAACCTATTTACAATTCTTAAGTGGTTTATGCACAAAGAATAAATATGTGAATTGGTGAAAAGAGATTCTAATTGCTCATTGAAATAATTCTTTATGGAAGTATGATATGAATAAGTCGTAATAGCCACATCAACTTGTGAAAGTGGAAAATGGGGGGAAGGGTTTGTGAAGTTTGAGGCTGCTATCTGATTGTGTTCTTTTTTGGAGGCTCTTTGCTTCAAGTACAACTTTTCTCTCCCCTTTCCTCCAAAGGCAACCTCTCTAGAATTGCTTTCTGTATCACCCTTGCAGCTATTTCTGACAAATTTCTCACACGCTACCATTTCAAAATTCTTTACTTTAGATCGAATCTGTATTAGTTGTAGGTCTTTAGAATATACGTCCAATGTATGATGGACAAAACTAATAAGCTTTTCCTCCCCATTCTGCTAGATGCCAGCCTGGTCTGTTTGGAGAGCACTGCCAGTTTCAAGATCCATGTCATCAATCACCCTGTGCCAATGGGGGTTCATGTGAAAGCACCTTGCGTGATGGCACTGTGCACTACCAATGTACCTGTCCCAAGGGCTTCCGAGGTGAGGATATCTGGTGTGATGGAATAGGAGATAAAAGCTTCTGGTAGAAAAGTAGTCTATTGGAATGGCAGTATAACTGGGTGATTTCCAGGAAGAATGAGCCCTGAATATATACGAGGAAGTAGATCTTTGGGGGGGGGGCAACTTCCATATTCATAATGTATTCCCTTTTCTGTTTAGGTCAGGACTGCTCTCTGTTTGATGCATGTGCCAGCAAACCATGTGTCAATGGTGGCCGCTGTACTAACTGGAATGGCCGATATAATTGCACCTGCCCATCAGGTTACCAAGGCCGCAATTGTCGGAGTGATGTAGATGAATGTCGGGTGTCTGGTCTGTGTCAGCATGGCGGTACCTGTCTTAATACACCTGGCTCCTTTCGCTGTCAGTGTCAAGCTGGTTATACAGGACAGCACTGTGAGAGTATCTCTACCCCTTGTGCTCCTTCTCAGTGTCTCAATGGAGGCACTTGCCGTCAGACGGGAGATCTCAGCTATGAGTGTGCTTGCTTACCTGGTGAGTGAACTTCCAAAAATTGTTGCTCACCTCTCCTCTATGAGGCCGTGGTGGAAAGAGATGGTCAGCATAAAAATAACTGATGCAATTGGGTTATGTGAAATAGGAGAATCACATGGAACACAAGCTTAACTATTTGCTTTTGCTAAATTGTATTTCACTGCTTTCCTGTCAGGAAACTCATGGGAAGCTATTGAGAGCTTTGGCAGAGCAGGAAGGAAGCAATCTAAAGGGAGGCGGGGTAGGCAAGTTAGCAGACACCACTGTGGCTGTTTGAGCCAGAATGCAGTAGGAGGCTTGGCTAATGCTTCCTCCTTGATCTAGTTTATGATCAGGAATGCAGGAAGGCCTTTCACTGCATAACTCAAGAGACTCTTTGGCTAACAATTCCTAACCAAACTTTAAATTGTATGTCATCTATCCTAGAAGGTAGCCTTGTATGTGCTTGATAGAATTCACTCCCCCAAAGGATGCATAATTGCGCATTCCACTTTAATACTGGAGTTTTTTGTTTTCCTTTCCTGAAGCTAATTTTCCCACTGTCCCCAATTAGGCTAAATTATCTTCTTCCCTCCTTTCAGGTTTTGAAGGACACAACTGTGAAATTAACATAGATGACTGCCCAGACCACATGTGCTTGAACGGAGGCACATGTGTGGATGGTGTTAACACCTACAACTGCCAGTGTCCTCCAGAGTGGACAGGTATGGGAAAGCAGGGCAAGAAACAGAATGTGATTAATTTCAGGGGGCTTAATAAAATTCTGGGCAGCTTTTAAGATCTGGTTATAAATAATTCCTTTTCTCCATGGTATTATAAAAATATTAACTATCTAATTCGGAAATCTACCTGTTTGATGGATAAGACTATTTTTTAATCCTTCCAATTTTGGTGAAACTGTTTTATGCTGGCTTAGTGAACTAGGAACAAAGAAGAGCAATAACAACTCACAACTGGGAACAGAAGAGGAACTACAACTTTTGGATTCAACTCTGCTTTGGAAAACATTTCACTAAAAGTATCCCTTTTTTCTGCACCATAGGCCAATTCTGTACTGAGGACGTGGATGAATGCCAGCTGCAGCCCAATGCTTGCCACAATGGAGGCACTTGCTTCAATACCAATGGAGGCCATTCATGTGTCTGTGTCAATGGCTGGACGGGGGAGAGCTGTAGTGAGAACATTGATGACTGCCAGACAGCTGTCTGTTTTCATGGTGCTACTTGCCATGATCGTGTGGCTTCCTTCTATTGCGCATGTCCTATGGGCAAGACAGGTAGCTAGCTTCTACCATGCTTTTACATCAGCAGACTTTAATCAGTTTTAAATAAATAAACTGAAAAGGCAATGGGTATATGGACATTGAATAAAAAGAATATGATTATTTCAAAAGAAATAATGAACACTGTTGCTTCATGTTTTTTTCTTATTTCTTACCATATATATTTCTTCTCGTGTGGTGACCTTTCTCTTTCAGGCCTCCTTTGTCACTTGGATGATGCCTGTGTCAGTAATCCTTGCCATGAAGATGCCATTTGTGACACCAACCCAATGAATGGCCGTGCCATCTGCACCTGCCCACCAGGTTTTACTGGTGGAGCCTGTGATCAAGATGTGGATGAATGCTCCATTGGTGAGAATTTCTTTTTTTTTGTATGGAGGTATTCAAGAAGGATTGGATGCATGGAATTATGCATCTTCGAAACAATGGGAGGGTCCAAAGGTTTTCTGAGATAGACTGACCTCTGCTGGCATGCCTTTGAATTGTTTTGTCTCAAGTTGTCTCTACAAGTATAATTTTGGGCCAGTCAGCCAACCACTTTCACTTACTGTTTTGCTATCTGCAGGAGCTAATCCATGTGAGCATTTTGGCAAATGTGTGAACACACAAGGCTCCTTCCAGTGCCAGTGTGGACGTGGTTATACAGGTCCACGCTGTGAGACAGACATCAATGAATGCCTCTCCATGCCTTGCCAGAATGATGCCACCTGCCTTGACCGTATTGGAGAGTTTACATGCATCTGCATGTCAGGTAGGATCCCTGAATCTGGCTCCAAAATTACTGAAATATATACTTAAGTTGCTGCCCGTGGTAGTGAGAATAATCTCAAAAGCAGGAAAAAGAATAAATATGCAGGTGACGGGAAAGGAAGAGAGTCAAATCTCTGAGAAAACTGGGTTCCTTGAATGAGCTTAAGTAGTTTACTTCCTTGGTTCAAATTGTTTTTTAAAAAGTAAATTGAGAGAAATCATTCACTGTTATTGTGAAGCTCTGTATAATAGATAAAAGGTATTACAAGTACTTTCTGAAAATAATTGAATAACCTTGACTGCTTCATATCTAGTTGTTTGCTTGGCAAGAGCCTAGCTTCTTGTGTTTTGCACTTCACATGTGTCTAATTCTGGAAGACAAAGTGGATCTTAGAGTCTGTTTTATCCATGTTTCCTTTGATGTATTGTTCTTTATTGGATTGTTGGATTTATTGAATAATAATTCCTTATTACTTTGGTGGAGAGGAGTCAGGTGGGATTTACTTAGGATGATGTGTCATTTGCCCATTGTATATCTGCAGTTTATACCATAGGTGTTTTTTTCTTCTTAAAATAAGAGATGCCAAACTATTGGAGCTACAAACCTCGTGATTTCAAGTACCTACCCTGAAGTTAGTTTCTCTCTCTCTCTCTCTCTCTCTCTCTCTCTCTCTCTCTCTCTCTCCCCCCCCCCTCTCTCTCTCTCTTGCTAATTGTGGATGTCACTTTACTATCATGAAACCACAATTCCTTAATATTTAGATAGCCAATATAAACTTAGATGAAGAGCTGAGGCAGAATCATTCATCAAAAAAGCTAGAGTTTTGAATGTTGCATCTTTCATAGAAATTTCTCTGCAGCATACCCTTATTATGCTGTATACTGGGGCAAAAAGCCGGTTGAGCCTTTCAGAAGTTTCTCTAGAATCAAAGCATGCATACACACACACACACCACATTTCATAGAAAGTGAGAGATGACTATACAGTTGTCCATTTCCCATTGTGGCAGAACTTTTAAGATTGAGGTATTGCATAAATTTGTACAATGTTCATACAGACAGTTGGGAGTGCAGCATTGTGCTTGGAATATTAATGTCAGGCTGGCCTAGAGAGTGATGAGAATTGGCTGTTCTTTGTGCTTCCATTACCCCATATAGGGAGCAACATTCTCCTTCCTTGCTCACTCATTGGTTAATGCTAGCTTTTTGTACAGGCCTGGGGGAGGGGTAAGTCTTCCTAGCTGCAAATGCCTTTGGGCAGAAGGGGATAGTAAACTTCATTTTAATGTTGCAGGTTGCTGGCCCAGTATTACTCTGTCCTGGAGCCATTCCTTTTGGGATTAGGATACAGTGAAAGGACTGTGATATTAAGACTACATAAGTGGCTTCAGAAATTGCCCAACATGAATCGTATTATTTCCCTGTACAATCTTCTTTTCATAGCAAGAAATAGGAACCCTTAAAAAGGATGCCATCTTAAACTAGATCAAGCTATTTCTTGAGCAACAGATATTTTCTATATCACCTAATTTATCTTTTTCAGTAGATACATATATATATATATCAGAAGTTCAACCTGTAATCATGCTCATTATAAATGCATATGCTGTAACTTATGTATAATGCTGTTCTACATGAAAGGATATAAGCAGGGTAGAATCCACCATTCCAGGAAACCAAACTTAATTGAAAATGGATACCATATTACAGTAGTTCTCAAACATTTTGGTCTCAGTTCTGCTTTACATCATTAAAAATAATTGAGGACCCCAAAGAACTTTGGTTTATATGGATTATATCTATTGCTATTTACTGTATTAAAAGTGAAAACTGAACACATTTTAAAATACAGTTTATGGATTTGATTTAATTGACTGAGAACCACTACAGTATTATATTGCCTGTCATATTGGATTAGCAGATTATCTCATTTAAGTTTGAATATTCAACCTCACAGGATTGCTGTGAGAAAAAAAGGAGGCAAGAGTAATGGATATGTTAACTGCCTTGAATTATATATTTAAAAAGTGGGATACAATAATAATAATAATTTTAATAATAATAATGATGATGATAATAATAATAATAATTATTATTATTATTATTACACAATTGTATCACAGCGGCCAGTTGTTTCGCCGGATATTATTATTATTATTATTATTATTATTATTATTATTATTATTATTATTATTATTATTATTATTGAAGATTGAAGATAAGCAGCAAGAAAAAAATCACAA